CATCTATTAGTAGCAGCAGAGAAACTATTGCAAACTACTGCGTTTCGGTTTTGAAGAGTAAAGGTGCTTTTGAAATTACAGGACTTGTCAACTTATGAGTAAGGGTGATGGGCGTAGTGGCAGTGCCCCTTAGATCTTTGCGGTTAAAGCTCTGAGTTATACTGTAACTGCTATGGACTGGCGAGTGACAGCTTGTTCTTCCCGTCACTTGGTATAATAAAAACAAAATAAATACAAACGTCACTTTGTAATCACGTCGTCTTTGTAATTAATTAAAAAACATTGAAAATAAAAACTAAGATATAAGTATAATTATCGTTATTTTTATCGCAACAAACAACCTGATTAAACCTAATCGTCATATTTTGCATTGAAATATCTATACCACAATAAAATCCAGAATATTTGCAACTTTTACCTTACGATTGCATTAGCTTTCGATACAATCACAAATAAATATTAAAACATTAAATAAATCAGTTTTGAAAAGCGCCTGTGTTTCGGTATTCTACGTATTATTCGTGAAACGACAACATTTCAGTAGTTAATGTTCATTCATTTAGGCAACTTAACGATGTGTCATTACTGCCTACAGGGTCAAGAACAAGTAAAGCTTGACACTTAAAATTTAAATTCAACTCTATAAACGTTACAATAAGAGCGGTCCCAAATACAACGTTCAAAATGTCTCTTGGCTATACGCTTAATAGCTAGTAATGTTTACAACTTTGATAAAAGGGTTACATCCTTCTTGTTTTAAAGCAAATTTCTTGTGAACCTATAAATAAGATATACTATTAAAAATATAGTTATTATTCTTGTGTATAATGTGATACGATTTAAATTATATCTAATATTGTAATCATCATCAGCATTCTCACCTCTCTGGCGTTGCCATAGGTCGTCATGCTGACTCAGTGTGGGTTGGAGAATTCACACATTTTCCGAGGATTGAGAACCTTAATCGATGTACACGCCTGATTCATGACGATGTTTCCGTTCACTGAAAAGCTCTTGGTAAATTCCAAATTAAATTTCACACATAAATTTCTAAAAACTCAGAGGTGCGAGTTTAAATTCGAACCCACGGGCTCTGTTTGCGAGACGGTAGGTCAAATACTTAGGCTACCCCGGCTCTTTAAATTGCAATAGCAAAAGTGTAAGTGACAATCATGCAGGGGCGGATTATATGTGGGGCGGATAGATATACTTCTAGAACCAATTTGGTTACGTCCGCCATTCCCTGGAGCAGATGTCACTAGGAAGTCGCAGTCGTAATTAAATTTTAGTTATGTTTGCCCAGCATCGCGGAGTAACTTATTAGTTGCGACTGTCACCGCAGTGACAGATTTGGCGGTGACAGACAGAAATTAACTAAATATTCTCGTTCAAGTACATGTATCTGTGTTGTCAAACATTTTTTTTGTCTATAAACCACTTACTAATGACCACATCATTTATTTTCAAAAATACAATTCGGTACATTCCCTTGTGACTGGAATAAAGGATGGAGTTTAATAAACTAGACGCGAATATTGCTCCTTATTTGCAAGCAAAAATGCTCTGCAGTAATGCGGGGATCCCAGAAGAACTCCCACAGCTGAGATAAATTTATATTTGGCGCTTTAAAACATTTAAACGGAAGTTTTTGCTCAATCCTCCAGCTCAATCCATTCGTTTGTAGTTTTTTCCGCTTGTTTGTTTCGAGCGTGATTAGTGTATGGTTGTTTCTTCTTATTTAGCTTATTTTACAGTCTATCTTTTATTTCATACAAGTGCATAATGAGAATAGAACGATTAAATACAATCGATTACTGTAAATATATGTATATATTTTTGAAAGGCGTACAGTATTTGCACCAAAGAAATTACTATGTAAAGACCAATTCCTTTCTCCATTTGTTTACCTTCCATCACCCGTAACTACCCCGTCAGAGATGGCGCGAATTCGCTTTGACAACATACCTAAATAAATATTACAAAATATAAATACCAAATCCAAACATAGATAGATTTATATTTTGAAACTTGTGGGACTCACTAATCGAATATCAATGACGTAAGAAACCAATAGCCTAGTGACAATTAATTACATTCCAGAGCCTTGATTATTTTTAAGTCTCACGTAATAAAAGCGAACAATCATTAATAACCGATTTTTATTTTATCTCTGGTTTACAAAAGGGTTTATATAGTATATAAAAGGGTTATTTAGGTCGAAGTAATTAGAATAATATTTTTATGTTTATTGAATATCATGATGTTGTTGTGCTGTCCTGTCACTTGATATTATTAAAAAAATGCCTAGTTTAAGACTGGCAGTAAGCGTATCCAAAATACTTTTTCTCTGCTATATAGGTATCACTTACAATATCTGCTTAAAAGTACCGCATAAGTGACATGTCTCACAAAAGCCTCTAAATTACACAATTATGCAGGTTATGCTAGTTTATTCTTTTTTTATTATTGAGTTTTAACTCCAGAAAGATTCTGATTTTCTTGCCATAACTAAATGTCACTTATGTAGTTTTACCTTTAAGCAGACGATATTATAAAAAATAATACTTATAATAATACGAAAAATGAGTCACGTCACTGAAATTATTTTGTGTTTGTTTTTTTCTACATACATATATGAATTTTGTAAGAATTTGGACGATATTCTCCCATAGACGCTACACTAATTTAAATATTTGTAAAGATAAGTTGAATATGCTGGATATTCAAAAATGTTATTGTTGATATGTATGTAATAATATGATTTGTACTATTTTAAAAATTTTTCTTCCTATTGTTTCTAAGTAGAATTTATGTATTTTGTTCAACAATTTCTTAATTTGTAAGTACGTTTATTTACGTTGCAAATGCCGTCGTTGTGGGGCCGTCATAGGAATGCAAATTTACTCCTATTCTAATTAAAGCAACTTCACAGTTTGTATTACGTAGCTACGCCATAAGTAAATAAATAAATTAAATATTAATATTATAGATCTTCTAAATTGCGGATATTTTAGACACTTTGTATAAACTGTCAGTTTTTATTTATTCAGATTTATGCATTCATCAGAAACTCACCTTATGGTAAGTTACGATGTGCTCGAGAATAGAGTATGCTTGCTAGAAAGCAACTATTCACTGTCACCTTCAAAAGGTCGAAAGTATTTTATTGGGGAACAGACCAGCAGGAAAAGGACAAAAAGATAATAACTATATCGACTATCTTTATATCCAAGTTCGCCAGCGTTCGAGACAAGAAAATAAGAAACGGTTCAAGAAACGCAATAGCTACAACGAAAAGATTTAAGTGCGTCATTTTTTGTTATTATGCTCGTAAGTACGACTTATGAAGTTACAAGGTATAGCGTGCTTTTGTTTTCTATTATGACCCAAGCGCTGGCCGTCTTTGTGTAAAAAAATTTAAACGAAAATGTAAAATTTTGGATTTTAGGGACTTATTTTTTACTTTTTATTTTGTTCGTAGATATTGGGTACAATTTGTCGTCAAAAATTATAAAAGTGCAAAAGACACATTTTCAGGTTCAAAAATAATTCAGAGATCGGAATCGGCAGACTGTACGTACCTAAACTGCAAGGAGGAAATTAACACAGAGTATATACCTCCCTCAGAAATCCCGGCATTATTGTTATTTGATTTTATTCTATATGATTTATGTGCAACTAGCAATTACACTAGATAGTGTATTATTTAAACAATTAACCCGATGGCGAGGTTAAAGGTATTCATATTAATAAGTATAGAAAGTAACACAAAGTTAACATGAACATGAAAGTGGCAAGGAAGTAGATTGCGATTTCTCACTCGTATCCCGATCCAATACACTCTCATGAGACTATGCGATCATGACCCGAATGAAAACTTCATAAAGCGCAGGTCATACCCATTAGGTATGTATGACCAGAAAAATTTTGGTGCTGCTCCTCAATCTGCTGAGCATTGAGGTAGTTTTCTTGCGGATTATGGCATTGAAACATCAACCCGGCCCAGACATCGTAGACGTACTGCAAAAGCAAAGCAGCCCCATCAACATCCTAAACCCATTATTATATCGGACCGGTAAAGGACAAAGCGATTTTTTAGTAAAACTCACTACAGACTGTTTGCGTAGAACAATTTGTAGTAGGTTTTGAAGAGTGAACCTGCGTGTCAGTACCTATATTACTTCTGATCCCAAAGCCCAATGTTCCCTATCTTTATCGGCCTGGTCATCAATTTTAGCAAAAAATAACTATTTTTATATTTTGTTTCAAATTTTTGGCTTTTATTTTGAATCATTCCGTAATTTTAGAGGGAGGAGATTATCCACCTTATATAAATTGCTCGAAGTTTAACTAAGTAAGTTTAATAACTGAGTTTAGAAAATAAAATATGTTAATAAAAAAAAAACTAATTCGAAATATGTATTTTACGTCGAAACGTATTGGCAAATACCTTTTTTTGTAATAAAGCTAAATCTGCATGTGACCGAAGCCACTAGAACCAAAAGAAGAAATGTCTATTTTGTCGAAGACATATCAAAATAACAAAGAGCAACTATTATTATTTGTGTACAAGAGTCAAATTTACTGAAAGAAAATAACACTAACTTTATTAATGGGTCACCGAAAATTTATAGCGTAACTAGTAATTTACTTCGTATTAATCCTACACAATAATAGAGAAAATTTCCTTTCCTTGAATTATTAATTTCATAAACAGCTAAAACTCAACTTTGGTAGCAATATTATATTTCATAAACACAAATTGCGGCAATTCTACCGAATATTATTTTAAGGTCTTAAAGATTAAATCGAATTTCTAATTTTAGAATCAAACGAAATGATATAATATAAAAGCAATAATAATACTCTGTATTAAAGGTTAGACATAAAAAAATTAAGACTTTAGGACGGATGACTAATGCAGATGCTGCCTAATTCAGTTTTAAACCGAAAATCCACAGGCGGGAACTATGAAATCACTTGATGACTACATTTTTCACCAGTATTAAAATGTATTATCACTCTTTTCACGAACTATATAGTCACTACTTGGTTTTATTTGTTTTTTTTTATTCCAACACGGATAAGTTGGAATATCGAGCCACTTGTTGAGGCGCGTTGCCACCGCGTCTAACGTTCGCGCGCTCGGCGGAGCGTGGCAGACTGCGCTTGCCGCCCATTCATTGAGCAACCCCCTTTACCATCAATTCTCGATTGTGACATGAACTCGACACATTTCAATTGCTATAACATACAGCCAAATTATATACATAAATTCAGTAAATGTTAGGAATTAGAAGGCATTCCGAAGCTTTAAATATTTACATTTTTATTATTTATTTGGATAACTTAAATATTTACAAACAAAAAACACCATAGGAAAGAATTTTAAATCATAATTATGCCAGCTTCTTGGTCTCTGTAGTTTGTATATGTTACAAATAATATTATTTTCTGATACTCCGTAGTACGGGTAAGCAGATGCGGTACAGCAGTGATATCCAGGTGCTTTACGAAGTCCGCTTTTCTCGAGACTCTCCTCTATAGTTGCGACTCTTAAAATTCCTAGGACAATGTCGAGGATAAATGAAGTGTTTCCGTGAATATAGGGATTCATATAGTTTTGAAAATTGGAATTTCGGCACAGTTTAAACTTGGCGTCGTCGTCTGTCTGTAATATCATAGTCCCCAAATTGATGAACCCATTGAAAGTTAGCTCTCAATTTTGTTTGTGAAGAAATATAGTATTTAGACAGAAATTTCGACTTTACACCCAAATAATTATTTTGTCGGTCACAGTCACGTGGATCTGCTGACAATGACCAATATAGAAACGCTTGAACCTACAGCACTACTAGGTCACAGCTAGAAATTTCTGAGTTCAAATATAATCAAAATACGTAGGTGCGTGTAATTATACTCTAATTATGTACTAAAGTTAAATTGACGATGCTTAGAAACATGACAGACAACTTACAAGGCAGAAGAATAAAAAGAAATAAAAAAGATAAATAAAAGAGATGAGTGTGATTCACAGATCGGTGTGTAGGCTCAGGGGGCTTACCACAACCTCTTAAAACAATATTACTTTACCCTTACATTGACTTTTCGTACCATGACGCGCTTAAAGTAAGCTAAAACTATGATGTTTTATTGGCAGCTTTGTGACTATTCATTCACTCAGTTCGTACTGTGACGTGACTTTGACATTAAAGTAATATTGTTCTTAAGTCAAATTTAGCAATCTTAAAATAGTTGCACGGATGCAATGGAAACAATATTATTTTCGAATTTATTGTCTAAATATTGATTTGTAATGATTAAAAATTAAGTTGAACTTTTAATTTACATATATATGTATATCTCTTCAGTATTTTGTTTATTTTTTTATTTAATAGTACATGAGAAATAATTTCTCGTCAAATAAAAATACGGCATGTTTATTTCGTAAAATTATGACAGCGCCATCTATAGGTATATGCTCCTTGGCCACACTAACAGTTGACACTAGACTATAATTCCGAATTCACAACGTGACTATCAAGACTCAGCTTGTTTTATTTATTTTTAACTGCCTCCGTGGCCGAACGGTTACCATACCGGACTGCCACGCAGAGGTCCCCGGGTTCGATTCCCGGGCCGGGAGAAATATTTGTATGGCCTACATTTATTTCTCTCGTGAGTTTGGGTGTAATTTGTGGTTGTCTATATGTGTGTCCATGGCACCCGCGACACAGAGTTTCCCTAGTGCGGGGCTATGTTGAGTGTGTGCGTTATTATTATTATTATTTTTCTTCAAGAAAATGCGGAAAAATAATTGAAAACAATGTAATTTTAACGGATTTCATTATTACATACTTTTCTTTTTTTGGCAGTTAAAATTTTCTGAATGTAAATAATATTAAATATCTACTTTAACATTATACTACGATAGGACGATTCGTAACATCAAAAAGGAAAAAGATGGCATTATACAGTTCATATGGCGTTATTTCTTTCCTATTTTTAGTAAGGAATAGACAATATTGGGAAATCATTCGTTCTTTTAGTCACTTTAGCAATAATACATTACATGGCTGATAGGTTTGTCATGGTACGAATATGAGTAACATTATAATTAGCTTATTATAAGCTTACATTGAAATAAGATTGTTTTTTGAAAGGTTATGGTAGGCCCCAGGGTTTGACCTACCGCCTTTGAAGCAGACGCAGAGCTTTTTGGTGAAGAAAAACATCGAGATGAAACCTGCTCGTCGAATAAACATTACACCCTCGGAAAACGAGTGAAATCACCAAGCCGCACTGAGCCAGCGTGGAGGATTATGAACTAAACCCTTGCCTGAAAGGAGACTCGAGCCCAGAAGTGGGGCACATAAATGGGTTGATTATGATGATTAGCAGTGGTGTTGAACGCATTTATTAATTTAATATTACAAATTAAATGAATTATTTTATTTCAAATAATTGTGTTTCTGCTGAGACAATTGGGTCTCTAAGGATAGATACGAAATGACCCCCTGTACAACTACCTAACGTCTAAACGAACTATAGAAGTGGTATGTTGATTGTATTAGTAACATATTTCATTGTAATGCCTTATGTCTAATTATAGATTTGTGCTCATCAGCTGGCTACTGAAATTAAAGTAACCTTTACCACAGTGTAATAAAACTAGTATGGTAATTCTATACAAACGTTATAGCGTGACTTGTATGTGTGCGCGCTCGCCGCGTGCCGTGTATGGACGCAGACATTCGCACAATCTCGTGATGCATACGCATTGCATAGCGTGCCGCAGGTCGTGCCATGCGCCTTTCATTATTATGCGAATGTGTGCGTCCGTACAAGGCGTGCGACGAGCGTGCACACATATAAGACACGCTGCTACGTTTTTTGCATAGACTTACCATACTTGTCTTATTATACTATGCCATGCCTTTACAATTTGGATATAAGAAAGAATTTTAATGTTCGTGTTTGGTTACAATTGAAGTGACATACAATCCTCCTCCAAAGATAGTCACAACGATCGGTTTTGCGCTGTTTGCATCCAACGGATTCTGATTCCGACGGACACAACCTTCACAAGGTCATCGGTCCACCTTGTTGGTGGTCTGCCTACGCTGCGTCTTCATATTTTAATTATCGAATATCTTTATTTTAGGTAAGTAAAATCCAATAAAACTTAACTTTATGGTGTAGATATTCGATTGAGATGGGTTACACACGGCAACTTTTAGCAGCGATGCAGTCGCTAATCGTCTGCGTTTACACGCGCGCGCGATTTTAAGCAGCGATGTAAGCGCACGACTGCATCGATACAAACACGCGATTGCATCGCTACACTTGGGATTTATAGGCGACTTTTTATTTTCATTTGTAATACATGTCCCATTTGAATCTCTGAATTTGAAATAATTAGACCTGAATTCATACGACTACGTCACGTCTGTCTGGTCACGTGTGACTGGTCAGTCAACCGTGACCATGGGACCTGTAAAGGGCCCGAAACGTCGGTTTGTTTGAAAAAACAAATATACGCGATTTAAATCCGGAAAAATAGTTTCATTTCCTAGGAATACCCTGTTTGAAATTAAAATATAAAACTATTTTTTATTATTTATTTTAAAAAATTGAGCCATTAATCATAATGTAATAGTGATAGAAATTTCATAGAAAGAAAAAGACTGTTAAATTAAACTTAAACAACAATTTATTATTAAAAGGTGTGAATTCAATATAAAATAACTCCTCCCCTGGCTCGAATACTTGCGAAGATCCTCCTGGGCATGTAGAGGATCAAGTTATCCAGCATTTCCTGGGGTAACCTATCCCATTCTTCAATAGCGGCTTCCCTGAGCTCTGGAACTGTCTGGGGACGTGGCTCACGGTTCCATACTGCTCGTTTAAGAGCATCCCACGCGTGCTCTATTGGGTTTAAGTCGGGCGAGCCGGTAGGCCAGTCTAATCGTGTGATATCGTATTCTTGAAGAGCAGCATTGACTCGTTGAGCTCGATGTGCGGGCGCATTATCATCGACCAGTACAAATTGGTGCCCATGGTTTACTCGGAATGGTCTGAGGATATCATCAATAGCAACTGCTTTGTACATGTCTGCTGTCATGAAGCCCCGATACGGGATCAAAGGCGTTCTAGCTCCAATCATAATGCCACCCCAAAAGGACACCGATTTTCCGCCTTGCTGAACTGTTTCAGTGGCAGTTCTTTGTCTTTCACGGTCGCCTGGTCTTCTCCAGACACGGACACGTCGGTTATCTGGATGAGTGCTGATTCGGGATTCGTCAACGAAGAGACAGTTTTGCCAAATGTTTTCGTCCTCACCTTCTTCATTTTGCCGAAGTCTAGCCCACTGCAATCTTCGTTGTTGACGTTGCCGGGAATTGAGCGGAGCTCGCCAAGACCTCTGTGCTCGTAATCCAGCCTGGTGCAAGCAATTGCGAACGGTCTGCGTGCTAACTTCAAGCCCAGAGGCGGCCCTGACTTCTGCTTTTATTTTAGTGGCGTTGATTGTTGGATCACGGGCTGCCAGCAATCTAATATAGCGCTTTTGGGCAGCTGTCAAAACAGTTGGGCGACCGCTGCGGGGTCGGTCAGCTAAATTCCCCATTCCGTGATACCTCTGCAACGTAGCCACGACACAGGATTGGGATATAGCAAGTCTGCGTGCTATTACTCTCGTGGTGTATCCTTCTTCCCTCAAAGTTACTATTCTAGCTCGTAAAACCTCTGATAATCCTCTTGGCATTTTTTCAATCACAACTTTCCGCGAAAAATATCTTGAATCGCTTATAAATGACTAAATCAGATTTCTGAATGAGCGTAAGCTAGGACTGAAAGCCTTTTTATATGAAAAAACAATTGAACGGGGTCATTGTTTTATGTTCTAATTTATTTTTAAATAAAGAATCTAAAAAGAAGAAAAAATCATAATATGATCTACAGTAACAAAAAAGATTTCAGTTTTTCGAAGTGATCGCAAACTTTTTTTGATGTGTGTATGCGCAATCTACATCCGCAAAATATTGTTTCATTTTCAATGTAACAATCACGAAAACCTGATTCTCAAATGCAAATGCATTATTTCTGACAAGGGGGCAGAAATTTTAGAGTGGTTATACACAGCGATGCAAACGC